CTGTGGGGGCCCCCCCCCCCCCAGCAGACCAGGGACACCCAGAGCAGCTTTTCTCGCCCCGGAGGACACGGTGGCGGGACCACTGCGCGTCTGGGTGGTCCCGCCGCCCGCGCGTTCCGGGGCGAGAAAAGCCCCGTTCGTAAGTGCGGATCCGACATAAGTCGGATCCGCGTAACTCGGGGACTGCCTGTATGAGTCAGTGTGACACTGCTGTTAAAAAAAAAAAAAAAACGAAAATTATTCTGGGATGCATGTTGTTGTGAGCAAAACCCGAGAAGTAATTCTTCCACTCTACTCCTCCCTGATTAGCCTGATCAGTTGGAGTATTGTGTCCCGTTCTGGGCACCACATTTCAAGAAAGATGGAGAAAGTTGGAGATGATTCAGAGTAGGCCAAAAAAAATTATTAAAGGTCTAGAAAACATGACCTTTGAGGGAATACTGAAAGAATTGATCTTGTTTAGTTTAGAAAAGAGAAAACAGAGGGGATAGGATAGTAGTTTTCAAGTATCTAAAAGGGTATTTACAAGGAGGGAGAAAAATTGTTCTCCTTGACCTCTGAGGATAGGACAAGAGGCAGTGGGCTTAAATTGCAGCAGGGGAGGTTTAGATTGGACATTAGGAGAAACTTTCTGACTGTCAGGGTGGTTAAACACTGGAATAAATTGTGTTGGGAGGTTGTAGAATCTCCAATACTGGAAATATTTAAGGACAGGTTAGGGAGGCATCTATCAGTCAGGGATGATAGATGGTGCTTGGTCCTGCCATGAAGGAAGGGGATTGGACTTGATGCCCTCTGGAGGTCCCTTCCAGTTCTAGTAGTCTATGATTCTATGGAAATTAGTGAGTAAGAAATAAGCACGCCATCCACTTGAGATGTCTCCCTGGATAATGCTGATTTTGTGTTTTCTAGATTTTCCTATGATGGAAGGTGGAAGCAAAAGCTTCAAACATCTGTAGATTTCCCTTTGGAAAGTCTTGACCTGTCACAATATGTTATTGGTCTAAAGAGTAATTTGAAGAGATACAACCTATTTTCAGTATCCGTAAGTACCCACAGCCAACTTTAAAACTTAGGTGTAAATCCATTTTTTTTAACTGTATCTGCAAGGACAGTATTACAAAGTCATGTTGATTCACCTAGGTTTCTAAGCCTCCTCTCTGGATACAAATTAAGCTGGGGAAGAAAGAAGGAGGGTGTCTGATATTTATTGCCATGGGACTTCATGTTGGCCAAAGCATGGCATTCAAGTTTATTATTTTAGCTAAGGGCAGAAATAGTAGCAAAAGCATAGATTGGTTAAATTATTAATCAGCTCATAAGAGGGACTCTTACCAAAAAGAAAGGATTGTTTTAATCTCATTTCACTTCTTTTCTCACCAGAATCATTATGGAGGGTTGGATGGAGGGCACTACACTGCTTACTGCAGAAATGCTATAAAACAGCGCTGGTATAAGTTTGATGATCATGAAGTGTCTGAGATCTCCGCATCCTCTGTGAAGTCTTCAGCAGCATATATTCTCTTTTACACTTCCTTTGAACTACGGGCTGCAGATATAGCCACATAAAGTGTTTTGAATGAAGTAAATTAATTCTCTATAAATGCACAACACAGGTATTGAAATGCATATTAATATGCAAAGCAGTGACCGATATATAGCCACTTAGTGTTAGGGCAAGGTTGCAGCAGCTTCTCTGCAAGAGGATCTTTCTGGTCAGTGCTATTGCTTAACTCAGAAGACTGATTTAATAATGCTTTTGGTAATAGTAACTTATGTTACAATTTGTTTCAAAACTATATTTTTAGTCTGCTCCAAAATGAAATTCTAGCTTAATTAGCAACTAGGTTTAAATATCCTAAAAATCCCACAGCATATCTTGATTTATTTTCTTTTCTATCAATCACTGTTATGGCCTTCTCACATTTCTAACCTTAAGCTTGATTCTACTGTGAATACTCTAGAATGATGTAAACAGTTAGGAATGTAAGTGTACATATGGATTGCATACTTGCACATCAGAGCTATGTATATAATAAAATGTGGTCCTTTTGTGAGAATCTCTAGAACTTGGAGAATTGCTTTTATTTGCAAGTTCTAAACAACTGCAAAAATTTAATTCTTATAGGTGTAGAAAAAAGCAAAGCTGTATTTTTGTTAGCCTTTGTCAATATTTCTGCATTTAAAATTTCTTCTGAAAAAAATTAAGATTTTTCCTTAATTTTTTAATACAAGATTTCATGTATACATGCATTAAGAATATTAACAAAGAAATTATTTAAAATACACTATCCTGTTAAATGTTTGTTTGAAGGGGGTTGGGTTTTTGGACATCTATAAAATTTGATAATCAATCCCTGAGGGATTATACACAGCAACATTTTGTATCTGTTCAACAGAGTCCAGATGCTAAACCTGGAAGGGCAACTGTCTTAAGAGTGAATTAGTTTAGGAGCCATCCCGGTTCCGTTCTACCCATTTTAATTGTCTGACAGCAATTTATAATTTCCACTCCTGACTTCCATTGGTCCTTGAAAGTCTATGTCCTCTGCAGTTAGCTTTTATCAGTGTATGTTGCTCTAGTTTAGTTAAGAACAGGTTTTGAAAAGTTAGAGTTGTTGCACTTGAATTCATCACAGCACACACAGCAGCAGAGCACTAAGGAGCACCATACTCCTAAGTGACTCTCCTGTTGAGCAGGTAGTAGACACTTTCAAATAGATGAGGGGACAAACTGGTGGCACCTGGCCAACCTTGCCTTTCTTAGTAAAACTGTGCCAAAGACGTACGGCTGTTTGAGAGCAACAGCTCAGCGAACCACAATTTTACAGATGCCAAAGTACTGTCTACACAGTGTTTGCCAAGCTGAACTCTGTTTAACATTTTTCCATGCCTAATATCACATATGCACCTGTGAAATGCAATGTTAATGTTAACTCGATTACCAAAATCCCAGGCAATGCAGAATTAAACTGACCAACTTGTGCCTTAGGCCTAGGTACAACTTCCTACGTAACATAGCCATGCTGCACCTGCTAAAATCGTCATTGCTGAATCCAGCATAGGAGACTGTTGCTAAGACTGTTAGCATTAACAAGAGATGAGTGCCCTAAGGAAAGGCTGTTAGTGTTTTTCATGTTGACTCCAGCCAGGCTAATGAAGCTTTAATTGCTTGTTTTTCCTCTTTCATGCTGTTCTGACTCTGACAAGGCACAAATATAATCTCCCTACTGTGGAGGCTTCCCACAATTACCTAAATTTGCTCCACGACACAGCATTTAAAGAATAAATCCTCTTTCTAAGCTTTTGGCAGAATAACCAAAGTCTTTGAGGCAAACATGGACCAAGTGTGGAGAGAAGGGCTTTGATTCAATTGGTCAGATACTATCCTAGTGATACTTCTGCCCCTCATTTCATAGAATACTAGAACTGGAAGGGACATTAAGAGGTCATTTAGTCTAGTCCCCTGCCCTCATGGCAGGACCAAGCACCATCTAGATCAGGAGTGGGCAATAGTTTTTAAAAGGGGGGGCTCTCCCAAGATTTTGGCAAGTGGTCAAGGACTGCACTTCTATGGAGGGGGGTACAGGGTCTGGGATGGAGAATGGGTGCAGAAGGCAGCTTTGGGTAAGGAATGGGGTGCAGGAGGGAGTGTGGAGTCTGAGAGGGTGTTTGGGTGAAGGAGAGGTTTGTGATCGGGGCTGGGGCTTGGGATGTAGGAGAAGATTCTGACCGGGGGAGAGGGTGGAGGGGGGGTGCATGATCTGGGAGGGAGTTGTGATCTTGGAGAAGGAGGGAAAGGGGTTGAGAGGGTTTGGGTAGTGGCCTGGGGCAGGTAGTTGTGGGGGAAAGAAGGGGTAGAGTGACTGAGGCAGGCTGTGCTGGGAGGTGCTTACCTAGGTGGCTCCAGCCAGCAGTCATGCAAGAACCTGAGCTACAATCCCAGTGTGATTGACTGTTTGCACCACATTGCTCTGCTCTGGACATGGGAGAGGGGAAGGGAGGCTTCACGTGCTGCCCCTACCCCCAGCAAAATTTCTCAGCTTCTATTGGCCAGAACCAATGAGAGCGAAGAGATTTTTGCTGGGGGTCAGGTCAGCATGCGAACTCTCCCCCTCCCTCCCTCCTTAGCGTCCAGAGGAGAGAGCAGCCAGCCACTTAAAGCATGAGCTGTTCTGTGCATAAGGGTCCCAGTTGAGACCTAATCAGCACAGAGTAAAGGGGAAGAATTACTTCTTGTGTTTTGCTCACAACACTCCTGTTAATGCAGCCCACAATGATTGGGGAAGGAGGGGCGGCGTTTGTGGAACAGCATCACACTGTTGACTCATATTTAGCTTGTGGTCCACTATGACCCCCAGATCCCTTCCTGCAGTACTCCTTTCTAGACAGTCACTTCCCATTTTGTGTGTGTGTGAAACAGATTGTTCCTCCCTAAGTGGAAACATGTAAACCAGGGATTCTGTGCCCCACTATTAATTGTTGGGCCATTGGTATTGGGTTATTTCAGCATTTTATCTTTAATGGAGACTTGAAACACCTCACTTTAAGTTTTCATGGAAATTGGGGAAGTGGAGCATGGAGGTAGCAGTATTAAATCTAGACAAGAGGGCATAGTAAAAAGCATCCTGTCAGTTCAGTACTGTACTTGGTTTAGGTACTTGCATCTGTGTTTTAATTATTTTAGTTTCCTTTTGGTAAAGTGCAACTTACTGTATAAAAAATATGGGCCATTCCAGTATAACTAAGGTGCTGCATTCATAGTTTTTAAACCAGAATCCGGAGAGTGAGAAAAGTAGTAGGAATGGGAGAGGGAAACGGCTTTTTCTTTGAGCAAGCCCACCTTTCATTTCTGGTACTTTGTGCCCAAGGCAGTTTAATGCTGTATGTTTTATACTGCATGGGGGAAGAGAAACAGTAGGGGTCAAGTGAGGCCATATGTGGCTTCTGGCACGCACACACGGAGGGGAAGCGGGGAGGACAGGGTAGAGCAATGAGCGTTTGAGAGAGTGAGGTCATGTGAGCTTTTTCCTCTAGTGCACCCCTTGCCTTTAAGAAGCATCAGCTGGCTGCTGCTTCTGTCCATAGACTCTTGTACTGAACCAGCTCCTAATGTTATGGGCTACATCTAGACTGGCATGATTTTCCGCAAATGCTTTTAACGGAAAAGTTTTTCTGTTAAAAGCATTTGCAGAAAAGAGCGTCTAGATTGGCATGGACGCTTTTCTGCAAAAGCACTTTTTGCAGAAAAGCGTCTGTGCCAATCTAGAAGCGGTTTTGCGCAAGAAAGCCCCGATTGTCATTTTCGCCATCGGGGCTTTTTTGCGCAAAACAGTTTTCAGCTGTCTACACTGGCCCTTTTGCGAAAAGCATTTCCGGAAAATGTCTTTTGCCCGAATGGGAACATCAAAGCATTTGCGCAAGAAGCACTGATTTCAGACAGTAGAACGCCAGTGCTTTTGCGCAAAAACAAGCGGCCAGTGTAGACAGCTGGCAAGTTTTTCCACAAAAGCAACTGCTTTTGCGGAAAAATTTGCCAGACTAGATGCAGCCCTGGGGTGGGCGGGGAAGGGGAGGGGAAAGAGGACATATTGGGGAAGGCATGGCAGAGCACCCAAATAGAATAGAAGAAGGGGAGAGGTGGTCTGGAGGAAGCTATTGTGTATTTGATTTATCTTGTCTAGATAGTTTGCAGGGTCTCTAAGCAAGCTCCAGATGTCCTCTAGGTGCTGCCATAGTACAAACCATAGCCTTTTAGAAATTACTTGTATGGCAGAGTTCTGGCTGTGCTCCATGGGTCTTTCACTACAGGCAGATAATATTAGTATCGGAGACTCACCGTGGTCCTATACCCAACCCCTGTCTCTTTACAGGAGGCAGGGTCCGTTGCTTAGTGAGCCATACTGATTACAGTCCATGGTTTTGGGATGAAAACCTGTTGATAGTCCTGGTCTCCCTTCTTGGGACAGGCTCTGTGTTGGTGTGGGGGAAGGTTTGGGGGGGAACCTCAGCCCACCCACTACTCCAGGTTCTGGCCCAGGGGCCCTAAAATAGCAGCAGCCACCAAGGTTGTTTTTCCTTCCCACTTAGCAGCTTTTTTTCCTGGGCCACTTCCCCAAACAGCCCCTCCAAAATGTCTCCCTCTGGTACCTGTTAACCCACTCTCAGCTCACGCACAGCTTCTTCTTGTTCCTCCCTTTCTCCTCTAGTCCATCACTCTTTGTCTTCCCTGTCTCCTTACCTAATGGAGGCCTTTTAAAGCAACTCCACTAGCTGTAATTGGCTGCAGAAGTTGAATGACTTGCCTGATGGAGCACTCTAGTTAATTAGCCCCAGGTGTTTTCCTGCCTTCATTTTATTGCAGCAGGCTCTAGGGCTGTGTCTATACTGGCGCAATCTTGCTCAAAAGCAGCCACTCTTGTGCAAAAACTTGCTGCCTGTCTACACTGGCCATGTGTTCTTGTGCAAGTAAACTGATGTTCTAATGTATGAAATCAGGGCTTCTTGTGCCAGAATGCTGATGCTCTCGCTCAGGAATAAGCCCTTTTGCACAACTGTTCTTGCGCAAGAGATCAGTGTAGACAGGCAACATGAATTTCTTGCGCAAGAAAGTTCTTTGGTTAAAATGGCCATCAGAGCTTTCTTGCGCAAGACAGCGTCCACACTGCCATGGATGCTCTTACGCAAAAGCACATCTCTTGCGGAAAAGCACATGCCAGTGTAGGTGCTCTCTTCTGGAAGAGTTTTTGCACAAGAACTCTTCCGCAAAAGAGTTTTTGCGTAAGAATGCGCCAGTGTAGACGTAGCCATGTAGTTTACTCTGGAAAGAGAAAACCACTTATCCAGTACCCTATATATCTGTCTTCTACCAGAGTGTGTCAGGCTGCTGGCTTAGGTCTGTCACACTTAATACAAGGAAATGATGTGCTTTGTAGAAAGACAGCCCTCTACTTCTTACACTGAAAGTTGTGTTGCAGTCAACTCCAGCTTTCTCTCTTGAAATCAATTCCTAAGCATAATCAGAAAAATCACACACAAAAATTACACAATGGAAATGCACTCATTT